TAAGAAATGTTTCGGTCCATTAAGTCGTATACATTTCTTACCGTTACCACAATTGGACCTCGTAAGTATATCTTGCATGCAGTCAATTTCATGCATACTTCCTCCTAGTCCCTTCACTATTATCGACTTTTCATGGGAGTTATGCGACATTTTTATTAAAGAGAAATCCCTACGTTGTGCGACCCTGCGAATGATTTTGCTGGGAATCTTGTGAATGACTGAGCTGGGGATCACATTTGCCGATGTGTTTTCAGCCGACAGATCATGCCCAGAATGAACCCCCTTCCCCCTTTTTTTAAAAGTAGTAGAATAACAAGCCTAATGCCATATCCGGTAACGCGCTGTAAAAGAGAAGACCAGCAACACATTTGCGATTCCCACACTATGCGTCCTTCAAAAAAAAAAAAAAAAGCAGAAAATATTCATAAAAGCATACCTGACGGGAGCTAACACAAAGTGCAAACAGTGGTTTTGAGCGTGAAGCATTGAGAAGCTTATACAGAAGAATTTGCCTGCCACGCAACACGTATTGATCAAAATTGAAAATCACGATAAATTGTAGAAGATCCTGAAAACAAAACAAAAAAAAAAAATACGTCAAAAAGTATATTAACAATCAATCTTTTACATGACTTGAAAAGGATCTTTGCTCAAACCTAAAATTAAAATTTTCTTCATAATTCACTCGGTATTGCAGGTATTCATTTCCTACTGCGGCTCAACCACACGCATTTACGAGAGATAAGCTAGTTTTCGTTGAAAAAAAAAAATAATTAAAATCAAAAAGTTAACACTTACTCCTCATCCTAATATTAGATTTACAGTACACGCCTGTACGTTATCAAAAAAAAAAAAAAAAATTGATTCCAGATCACCAGCTGAACTATTTTTTTACTGAATCTAGTTACAAAGTGATGCTTCAAAAAAAAAAAAAAAAACAAAGCTACAATTGAATGAAGCGTACCACATCGGATTCGGAAAGATCGAGAACTTTTAGTGCATCAGCATCAGTTGTCTGGATTAAGCCATCAATGAATACCACTTCCAAATCATCCGTATAATCTAATAAAACCTAAAAAAATCAAAAAAAAAAAGAAACATGTAATCTGAATTATATTTTGAATAGCGTTAACAAGAAGACCTAGATGACAGGGCCAAAGTGCTGCACATATCGATGAAAAAAAACCCCGGTACATCTGTATTAAGTACCATTTCCCCTTTCAAAAAATGCCCTTAAAATCTCGATCTAAAAACTGATATAAATACTACTGAACCAGAGTAATACCAAATAAAGAATATCATCTGAGAAGAGCAAAGAAAATGCAGTTTTTTATACAACTTATTAAAAAAAACCGGTCAGATCAGAGTAACATTTTATGGATATTATGTATGGTGAACACCAGAGGACTGGGGCAGGCTCTCTTCAGGTTAGGTCAGTTATTCGTCCGTGTCTGCTTATTTTGAAGATTTATCAATTTTTTCTACGAAAACACAAAAATAACCTTTCGGATAACGGAACGTTTACCAGACGATTTTGGTCCAACGACGATTGCCGAACCTCCTTTCTTGCTCTTCAAAAATCGTTTCACGATTTCGTGTAATTTACTGAAATACCCCCACTCAGAAAAAAACCATCGGTTACCGAAAATATGTGCCACATGCAAACTTATTAATTAATGTTAAGCACTAAATTTTTTAAATCATATTACTATAAAAACAAGTAAATAAAACTCAGTTTCGGTGACGAAAAAATTCCTCACCCATAAGTCCATACTAGTAAAATAAATATCAACGCGCACCAGACTAGCCGGTGCGATCATGCGTCTTGTGCAATCGAACGACTGCCTATTAATGATTTTCACTGCTCTGTACTTTAGTCTATGCAAAAATAGTTCAAACATTGGAAAA